TGATAGAAATATTTCGTAGCGGCAATTCCAAGGACATAATTGACAGAGAAAATGCATACAAGATCGAGAAGATAGTGCAGGAATTCTTTGATTCTGAACAAGGAGATCAGGGAAGCAATGGAGAAACGTCTGAAAGTTCGACTACAAACCTGTCTAATGGCACCGGCGAAGCAAGGTCAGAAGGTCGCCATCAGTTGGTACGTGCAGATGTTAACCCAAGATTGACAGATATCAATGGCGATCCAACCAATGAAACAACACCATTAATCCAATCAAACCAGAACGCCAGAAATGACATCATTGAAGTATAAATACACCATAGTTAGTATATGGGGCTTGAAAACACAGAACTTTAGGTTCATTGAACACTGAACGTGTCTTTCTTACCTTTTCTAAACGGTATTCTTTTCTCCTTCCAAAGTGGAAGATCTGAAATTTCATGAATTTTATTTTACATTCCTTGATTTATTGTTTTAGATGAGTTTTCTTGACTTTTTCTTGGTAACATTGACCTAATAAGTAATGTTTTTTAGCAGTTATACTTTATTGCAGTTGCAGAAATTCTTTAGGATGTTCTTTGGTATTTTCTTACCAATTACCTCAGTAGTTTTTCAAATGAGCATGAAATTTGATAGCCAACCATTAACGGTTGCAAGAATTATTTGACATCATCTGTTGTTTTTAGGAATAGATTTAAGATGGTATTACATTTAGTACGACGGCTGCTATGTTGGCAGTACAGTAGAGTATGATTTATAGATAGCAGGTACACCAAATAAGCAATGTGTAACGACGCCATTTTGTGTTAGAAAGCTTGATGGTAGTTGTAGTCGTTGCACTTTTTATAACCACAAAGAATCTCCCTTAAGGCCATTCCGTAGTAATGATATCATGATAATAATAATTATAGATACTTGTGATAAACATTTTACAGTTATTAATTATAAGTAGAAGTAAAGAAATAAAATAAAATGGGAAGTTGCCATCGAGTTGTTTTGCGCTGTAGGACGTCAAACCATTTCCATGCGTGCTCGAGGTATTCTTTGATTTTAGGAATCGTAAAAGACATTCTAACGGGATCATTGTACAGCAGAAACCGTTGCATCGCGACAATGTTCAAAGGAAATAGTTGGGATTTAGGTTTTTCTGCGACTTGGGGGCGGAGCTTGATACTAATCAGCCAATGATTGAACAAGTTTTCGAAAAGCTCCGCCCCTCAGATTGAAAGAAAGAACAAAATCCAGACAAACTTCAAAACAAAGAGGTCGCGATGCAACGATTTCCGCTGTAAATATTGTATTTTATGCGATCCTGGTACTAAGTTTATCAGATATTTGTCATGCAAAGGCCCAGTATGTGACATTGTTTAGCGATTTTCTTGCGAAAAAGGAAATATTTTAGAAAGGCAATTGCACAGTGATCGTTACCTAATCATACCATATTTAAATTACGGCTTCTAGGTAACTCATTGTTATTTATTTATTTTTTTTGATTTTCAGACCATTTAGTTGAAAAGAAAATTTTCTGGAACTCGAAGTGTTCATATATGCAGTTTTTTTATGCAGATTAGCAACACTTAGAAACGATCAACTTTTTTTTGTTCAAATATTTTGTTTGAAATTAAATTTGGYATGATTACTAGGCAAGAAAATGAGGTTTTCAAAGACATAAACATTGGCCGGGGAAATCCCTCACAACAGTCGTGACCTAAAAATCACGTGCCTTTCTCAGAACTGCAGACAAAACTGAGCAGATTATGCAAGACTTGACATGCCTCCTTTGAAACAGCTTACTCATAAAGTAATCAAACATTCTGCAATGAGTCTTGATGGTTGTTTCATACGTTCAGAGTTGTGCGATGGAACGAGTCAAGTTCGAACCCAAGTCAATTGTACGAGCCAACTTCGAGCCAAGAACGAGTCATATTAAAAATCATATATTGTAGTATGTTTAAGAATAAAACGAATCTAGAATCTATTCGAAAATTTTCAAGATTTCAAGGAAGCCACACCTAAAGATTATTTTTGAAACGGCTGAAGTTGCTGAAACCTTAACGTAGTTGACTCGGACTCGAAGTTAACTCGTGTCACCGCACAACTCATACGTCCATTATAAAGACCAAGAGATTTTCATAATGTCCTTTTGATTATAATTTGATTATTATTATTTCTCAATTTTTCACAATAATTAGCCCGACTTCATGCTCAAAGAGCGCGTAGTTACTTACTCTCCGGGCGTCGGAGATTTTTGATTCAAGTTTTATTCCGCCTTGTTAAGTTTGATTTCTACAAGTGTCATGTGTCACGTCATCGTGCAAACAAGTCTAGGCTTAGCAATATAGTTTACGCAGTGTCTATATGACAGGCAGCCCGTTGAGGTCTTAAAAAAACTAAATGACAGGCAGTCCTAGCCTGATTTTCAGACGGGGCCTGGGTAGGACCCAGGCCCCGTCTGAAAATCAGGCTAAGGCAGTCCAAACTTTTTCTACAAATTTCGAGAGAACGGCTAAAGTTTATCAAATCAAACTACTTTTATTTCATATAGAAATACCAAGCGCTTATTTAGAGCTAAGTAAAATGAAATAAGAACGTAAAACCTTTCGTCTACATACTATATAGCCGGCTTGGCACTTTGAAATTTTCGCATGACTGAGTGTTGGTCGGCCGTTGATCAATATTTACGCTCCAGACATTCAAATTTATTTCCGCCATGTCAAATGCGTTATGTGTCACGCCATCGTGCAAACGTAATAAACACGACCTAAAATCACGAGGTTTCTTGGAACAACAGACACAAGACGGTTGCCACATCTTTGTATGAAGTTGATCTCTAGCTGTAGGCAACTAAATAATGGAAATGGAGCTCTATTGGCGTTTAATGTTTCATCATATTCCAACGCTCTCGCTTGTAGCTGTGTATCATACTACATCATGTCAGAATAGATGTGAGGTTATTCCACCAAATTATAGTCTTCAGACATATGTACATTCAGCAGAGATRACTTTCGTTCTTCCATGTGGGATCAAAGTGTTTTTCAATTATAGCACAATGAGCATGCTTAGWGMASTTTTGGGTGTCCCATGGGCCGGRGGAATAAGGCTWATGTCAAATTAAAGCTTATTAAGAGTAGATATCAGAATCTTTGTTTCTTTGAAAAATATTAGATTTTAAAATATTAAAATTGCCTAGTGCACAAAATTCTAAGACGCTCAAGATACCACGCCGAACTTGACTCATTTATTCCATTTATTCATTCATTCATTTTCTAATGTGTTGATACATGAACCATTAAAGGATTGTGCAATAGTGTAGGAATTTGTTAAAGTTATGTTCTCTTCATTTAGCTGGCGAAAGTTCCAAAAAGAAAAGAAAAGTGAAGTCCATGTTTCCGCTGTCTGCTGTTGCTGATAACAATACTCGATGCGCCATGCAGCAAGATTGCATTGCACTRGCACAGTACCTTGCTACCAAACAATCAGGTATGCAACGTAATTTTAAGGTTTTACAGAATTTAGGATCCCTTCACACGTATCCAGGTACAATATTCAAGTACCGGGTACAATCTTTTACGGACRGTCCTTTTTACAAAACCCAGTGACACATGGGATCTTGGGTGGGCACCAGGCAACTCTTTTATTYCTCCGAGCCTTTGTAAGGGTCAATAAGGGCCGTTCGCTCTACAGCTTAAGCAGAAACAGTCTACGTGTGAACCGGGGAAAACATTACCAGAAACATCAAGAAATCAAAAYTTTTCCATATCCTTATGTTTCTACTTCAGCAGAATTATTCCATAAGTCATATCCGTATTACGAGCGTCCATGATGTTTATTGGGTTTGACCACAGCGTTTTCATAGACGTGTCTATTTTTAGATTTTTTTTCGCTCAATGAGTAGTAGCCTCTGGTATAACGCGCGCCTTAGAAATCCGCGGGAATTCAAAATAGAATAGGAAACAAACATTGCGGACGGTATTGAAAGAGAACTTCCTTCTAGTCTTTCCAAAGTAATGATATAGAAGAGGCTACAACTGGATAAAAATCTAAACATAGAGACCTCTGTGAAAACGGCGTGACAGTCCTGTATCATGACATGGGCGTACCTAGTAATGGGCTCCTTGTATGGACCGAAACAGCAACCGCAAACAACAATCATTGCGAACTCAAMTGTTTGCGGGTCCATGTGGATGCGTAGTACATTAACCATGTTTATAATTTGATAGAAGTGATGATGGTATTATTTCATGTATTTTAGGGGCGGCTCGTTCACAAGACGTAGTCCTTCCTGGTGAATCATCAAATGTCAATCTAGGATTCTTTGCCGATAGAACAAGTGCATACAAAATGTTTGAAGCTGAAGGTTAGTCTATTGATACAATAGGCAATGTTCARCGACGCCATTTTGTGCACCAAAGCATGATGGTAGTTGTAGTTCTTGTACTTTTTCATGTCCACTAAAACAGTCCTTCTGAAATGTTTTTGCATCTTCTACGCCAAAATAGATGCTGTTTTGCCGCCTTTAAAAAGACATTTTGGGGTTTATCCTAATATGTGTGAGGACTACAACAACCATCATGCTTTGTTGCACAAAATGTCTTCACTGAATKGTCGAGAACGATCGATCTATAGTTTCAGTCTAGAAGCAAATAAAAGGGTGAAAAAAAATTAGAAATTTTCGAGATTTTAAGACTTGAGCAGCGGTGGACAAATGAGCAAGCATGAAAAACGATGTTGCGGACATTTTGTTTACATTGAATATTATGGCAGAGTTAGTAGAGGGGAACCCTCTACTAACTCTGATTATGGCTACAAGATGTACACTACCCTAGACCCCTAGACTTTGATGGGATGGATCTCATCCAGCATTGAAAGGGGAGCCGGGGGAGGCTATGCAGAGAAAATTTTACAGTATTATAGGAAGGAGTCGGGGGATCGCATATATTTTGTCCGCCCGTTGTGGGCACCCAACACATTATACAAATTGAAATCCYGAATTCGCTACTCTTCCCATGAGTTAATCATGAGTGCGTGAGGTGAAAATCACTTGGTAACTTAACTTTCTTTTCTATAGGTCGTCACCATTCTTCTGCAAATAATCTCGACTATCAGCTACAGCTGGAGGTCTGGAAAGGAAATCTCGGTGGAGCGATAGAGAAAGCAATCAAAGCAAAGCAGCTCAATGATTGGCTAGTCGCCATGAGTGCACAAGGTAGATTGGCTTAGAATTTGACATTTTTTGAATAGGACTATAACRCTTGATATTTCGTTAATACACCTTTTCAGTTGCACATAGACCTCGACAGCACGTTAAATAATCCTTTTGAATTTTGCTAGAGAATCGGAGTGAGGGGGTCTTGGGAAAAGTGCAKTGGCATATTCCTGCAATCATAACTGTTATCCTYCACGAGTTTGTAAGGTTTCTTGTGATTGGAGRAATAMAACAATGCTCATTGTTTCCTCGTTCTATTGTTCTATTGTTTTCTTTTATTTAAYAAATAGCKAGTAAACCAATCGTATAAGATCTTGTAAAACCGTGAAKGRCCACCAAATCATAACCCAGCATTTTTCCTCTTCTCTCTTTCCAGACCACTTTCCTCCGTTCCTCTCCCCAATGTCCGCGCCTCTACACAGGCTTTGGGTGTAAACTAAACTGTTTTTCTTATACAGGTGGCCATGGTGTCTGGCTGCACACAGTTGAGTGTTTCGCTAACCAGTTATTGTCAGAAGGCTCRTACCATCGTGCGGTGTTATACTTCTTGGCTTGCCATAAAGTCTACGATGCCATTGACGTGTTTAAGAATCAACTCATGTTCAGGTAACATTATAAACAGCCTTCGTAGTAGATTGTATTTTTGAGCGTTAGTATTTCATAGCTGTAGCATGAAAGGAAAGAATATTACCCTTTGGAATCAAAACTGCTATGATTACTCTCTAAGTAGCCTGAGTATCAGGCTCTCTCGAAGGGGTTTGGGGCGGAGCGAGAAAGGAGAGAGAGCCTGACACAATCTTCTATCGAGAGCTGTGTTCGGCGGCCGTTTCATGGCCGAAACGCTGATTGGTCTAGAGGACAAAGGAAGTGACAGGAATTAAAATATATATAATTATTATGTTACCGAACGACGCTATGACTCTTGATATAAGTGGATAACAGTTTGGGAAAGCTTTAATAGTACCCTGGTTGCAGAGGCTTGTCTTTTATTCTTTTTTGTACTACCTTCTCGCTCCGCCCTAACAACCCCTTCGAGAGAGCCTGATATACTCAGGCTACTCTCTAAGGAAATGAGCTCTTATAGGGTTTAGAAATCTCTTTAAACACTACTTGATATAACCATAAATTACTAAACACAAAGTATAAAAGAATCTTGGCTATAACACACAGCTATGGCCATGAGTATAGCTTCCTTAGCATCCTTCTTCTAAAAATGCAGGGCGTATCCAGCTGGTGGGTGCAGGGGGTACGTACCCCCTCCTGAGATCTGTAACCTTCAATACTTTCCTTATCTTGTATCTTCATGGTAATGATTTTTGTGGGTTGCACCCTCTCCTGAGAGCCCCGCACCCCTCCTTGAGGAAAATCCTTGATCCGCCCTTGAAATGACTACTTAAGCAAATGTGTAAACAGCGTGCAAATTCATGGCAATTTTACGGAGGCAATTCGCAGGTTTATCGAAATTTTAGAGCAAATCGTTGCAAATATTRAAGTTGATGTCGCTCGACGAAATTGCTTGTGCAGTCATAAGTTTAAAATGACAAAAATAATATTCATGCTGATTAACATGACAGAGAAGCCATTGCTCTCGCCAAAGTGAGGCTCTCACCATCCGACCCAGTCCTTCACGACTTGTATTGTATGTGGGCCAAAAAGCTGGAAGGRGAGCATTATGAAAACGCTGCAAAATGGTAAGGGAAACAGTTGATGTAATTCATCCTAAAAAAAGAACTAAGGCAATTTCTTGTCCTGGCAGTACTGTACTCCTTGATCTTTATTTGAAATCTATGCTTTCAGTGACGTCTCTACCAGGGTGGTTACAACACCGTGTCGTGTATTTTCCTTGTCTTTGCGCAATTATACGAAATCTGCTMAAAGACAGTGAAGGATCGTACCGGATACGATTCCTTGTCGGGATCCCTGTGTCCATACCTCAAAATTCCCTCTGTTTTGTGGGTCATTCATATCTTTATGCAGATGAGCAAATATAGTTGTTTTTTATTTTGTAGTTATTTAGCGGCTGGTCTTCCAGGTGAGGCTGTGCGGGTCTTGAGTATTCGCGGTGATCAAGCATCGTTGACTACAGCTTTGAAGGTTAGAAAGAGTCACTTACGTCGAAAAACCGCAGTTCTTACTAGTGCGGCGTCACACAGAGCTCGCTTATGAAAGTCACAGTGTTAAGAGTTTTCATTATATTTYAAGGTTTCTATGGTGTCGTCAGACCTTCAACAGCTTTCCTCTTCCATAGCTGTCCGTGTTATGCATATCTGTATGGAGACTGGTAACTGGTWTGCGGCAGAAGAAGCTTTAGCCATGTGCCAGGGCGTTGAGGTCAGTAGCTAAAGGTTTGATGGGTTCTAAATCACCAAATATGGCTATGATGATTGCTATTCAGGACCTATTCTTCGTGTTCARGTTACGTCACAGCGGCCATGTTGGATGAACTTCAACAAAGGATTTCTCATTAGTATCTGTTGCTCAGTCTGTTGTTCAGTCCTGCAACATGGCCGCCAGTCTTTTATCTTTTGAATCTTATGGGAGTGGTTGAAACGATCAATCCTCCCTTACCATGATGCATCACGGCTTGTTTGTCTTGTTTGTCTTGTTTGGCTTGTTTGGCTTGTTTGGCTTGTTTGTGGATATTACATGGGCGCGCGGATTTTATATTCGAGTGTTGACAAGATACATTGTTGAAATACGAAAAGCGTCCGAAGCAATGTTCATAAAGGACTGAAAATAAGGCTGAATGAATAGTGCCAATCAGTGACGCTACTATTTTAAACTAAAGTCTACTGTAATCTTAAGAAGTTATCCTTCAGCAGCATAATAGTGAAGTAATGTTGTAGCAAATGCGGTCAAATACTGCTGTGTGATGGTATGGAGGACCCTTCGGTCCTGATGATGATGCTGTAGTACAGCGAACGCTCAACCGTACCAATGAACATTATTTCCCGACACAAAGCAGTATTTGAGCTCATTTGCTATACTTGATTACAATTAACTCTCTTTAAACTCTCGTAAGCGACCATCTCCCGTAAGCGACCACCTTTTAAATTTCCCGTTTTGTTCAGTTTCCCATATAAACTCTGTAAAAATACTTTCTCGAAAGCGAAAATCTCTCGTAAATGACCACTTTTTCTTGATACCGAGGTGGTCGCTTACGAGAGAGTTAACTGTACTTATCTACTGTAACTTTACTTCAACCCCTCATTAATCCGATGCATGGATAGAGCTATTCACCGTTCCTTGTTTTTCCATAGGGCCATCTCAGCGCTTTGTATACACATGAGGTTCTCGTCAACGAGCTTCTACAACACGGGTTGATTATGGACACAGAATTCAAAGAACAGGAACACTCCAAAAACTTTAGCTCGTTCTCGGTAGGGGAGCATGGATCGATCATCGGTAGGTACAGCAACCAGAGTTACGTTATTGAAGCTACGACTGAATGGAATCATGGGAAAGCAAATAATTAATACAATATAGCCTCCTCCCCAGGCAAGTCTTTTTTCCTCGTTTGGGCTTCGTTTGTAATGGTCATCTTGTCCGCTAGGGACTAGTGCCGAGAAAGGAGTAAGGACACGCTTCCCTTTTCTCGCCCCCATTCTCCCTATTTTGACTCCCAAAAAAGACAGGAAGCCCGTGATTCTTTGTGATGGAGGAGGCTAAATACAATTTTAAGTGTATAGCAGTGATTAAATTGCCCTGTCTCATAATGACGTCATAGTACGTTTACACTTAGAGCAGATGTTCTTAAGCAGTAGAAATTCAAACATCTCTGAATGCATAACTTCAATTTTATCTAGTTGTGACTGATATAGTACCGTGTACATATCGAATTGTCTTTGATATGCAGTCATTCTGACACCTCTTGGCGACCATAATCCTTAGCGTTAAAAGAATAGAATGTTTTGGTGTGACGTAATTATGCGATAGGGCCATTCGCCAAGACCTTGAATCACTGGCTTCTTCGAGAAATTTTAACAGTTCTAATGTTTCGACAAATATGATTCAAACTTTCCAATACCCAAAAACTCTTTGGGTCTTAGCTCTCGAAGATGTCAACGTTTTAAGACGGACCAAGGTTTTTAATTAGGTCTGTTTTCTCGTTATCAGTTGCGCTAAGTGTTGACTGTTTTGTTTTGTTTTGTTTTCTTCCGCATCTCTTTGATGTAGGTGTAACCAACGTAGCGCGCTTTTTTTATATCGCACTCACCATATTAACCAATTCTAATAATGATATAAAACGTTTGACAGCTGGCAATACATTTGATGCCAACATGTCAGAGTTACGTTGAAACGTTTATAATTTCAAAATTTTTGCTGATGAAATTCTGCTTTATATTTCAGACAACTTTCAAGAACTCCCTCCTGAAAAATCTGTGTGGTTGGTCAATACTCAACCACGTGACTGGTTTATTGGTCGCATTTTGAAAGCCTGGGATCGAACGGGGACTCTGACTCTTCAAGGAACAAATCTAGTGTCTTCAATAAAGCAATTATCTTCGTACTTACAGTCGAACTTGAATGAAAATCTGTCAATCAAGCAGGTAAAAGTTATAATTGACGGATGAGACAAACCTGTGATTATGATATGAAAATTACACCTAATTGAATAAACGCTGTTGGGTCGCAAAAGGTGATATCCGTCAACACTAAACCCGAATGTAGTTCAGAAAGTACTCAGAAATTCAAATAATATTTGCCTTAAAAAAAGTGTTACATTACAGAACAACTCGAAGTGAATGTCATTTTATTCAGTGCAGGCAATCTTTTGAAATACTGTTACACTCGTAATATTTGCTTTCCCATGCTCCCTTTCGGTCGTTGCTTTTATGACGTAACCTTTTTGGACCTACACGAGTACGTTTTTTAATTAGGTGTATACAGTCCGGGGTAGTTCAGGTAACACCACATTGAGGTGTCTGTTATCCAATGAAGCCGTGGTACAAGATCAAATTTCAATAAATCATCCAATAAAACATATTTCCGAGAAACTTTACCTCCATCTTGAATTCTAGTTTTATTAGGAAGAAGCCATAGGATAACCCGGCAGCAAGAAACTTAAAATGCTATATAAATCAATTTTATATCTTAAAAATTAAACTACAATAAACTAGGGATTGACATAAATCATAAATAACCTTTTAACGCATGATACATTTTCGATGTTTTGAAACAACAAAAATATTGAAGCAGGTAATTAACAGCAATTTTTCGGTACCATTTCATGTGGCATTCAATCAATCAACTATTCGCCCATCCTTCCTTGAGAGATATTTTGCAGTAATTCTACTGGAATGACGTTCAACCATTGCTAGATAAAAAAGAGACTATTTTCGATACGCCTGAAATAAGTAATAATTTCAGTATTCGATTTTGGGTCATGATCGTTCAATCGTTCATTGTATGATTTTGCCTCCTGAAAATCCCATACTTTCTTCATTATTCAAGATAGCGACCACATTGCAAAAAAGGTCTGTTTTAAGGCATGAAGAGATGTCGGGAAGATGAGTGAAAACAGCGTAAACCCTAAATATGACAGCTTTTACATTTCTTTCAGGTATTGACAAGGATTTCATATGATATTTCGTTGGGACTGCTCAGCGGTATACATCAAGACAACTACGCATGCGCGTTGCCATGGCTACAGGCGCTCGAATCCTGCATCAAGAACAACTACTTTGTTCTGGCCCAGTTTCTTTGCGTCCAACTTCTACCGAGAGGAACCCAATCCTTTGAAGACATYTCTCTTCTTMGCAWAGAGACTAATGAATCCATTGGCAGTAACCGTGAGTTTTTGCTTGAAAGAAAACCGGTTTCTAATGATAAACTATTAAGTTACTTCAATGGTTTTTACTGTTTGATAGTATTGTATAAAATRTGGTTTCGAGCGCCTGAGATTTTACAGCGCTTTAGCAATAGCAGTGAGGTTGAAATCGAGAGCCATCTTTCTACAACTGACAGTAATGGCTCCGAGGGTTTAAATGCCTCTTTTAATGTAGCTGAGAGGATAATCGCTGAGATTAATTGTAATAGTAATGCTTCATTAAACGAAACTCCGGTGAATGCTCAGAACAGCAACTTATGCGAYGAAGATGGAACTTTSGTCAAAGATCCACTGCCATCCAGTCTACAGTCATTAGAAACGTCAACGGCTCCAAATGARGGAGATTTGGACATATGCMACGTGTTGTCAWCGGTCCACRACAGTTTGCTTACGGAAAATATTTTTATCTGTTCGACGCTGAAAAAGCAGCTGTTAGAAGTCAAAAARGAGGTTATTCTTCTACGGTCGAGGCGAATACTGGATTCTGTCGCTGCTTCTGGTTCTTCAAAGCAGAAGAAAGCTACAAAAAAGAAGAATAGAGMACAACAGCCTTCAGAAGAAAGTGGTGAGATTTTGGTGAGCTCCACCGCTGTTGAARAACGTAATATTGTTGACAAGGAAGAGCAAGATGACAGTAGACAAGGTTGGTAACTTGACTCAACAAAAACTCCTTCATCGTTAAATTGAAAGTTTGAACAGCTACTGCCAGCGACGCCATATTTTCGAACAAASTATGGCGATAAATCTAATATCAGAAACCTATAAAGGACTTGAAACGTGTAACGCCCGTACATTTCTTTAGTACAAAGCGTCGGAATATTCAAAGCTCATTAAAAATTCCAAAACGAATGTTATGAGCATATTTGGAAAATTCAGCCGTTGGATAAGAGATTTAGGCCCATTCTGGTTGGCTATAGGTTAAATTTAATTGTTCCAAACAAGGTCAAATAAGGAAATGCGATGCAAATTAGATTTGATTATTCCAATGGTTGGCACGGCGTTACACGTTTCTGCTAATATRCAATTAGTTTTACTGTTTCTGCAGAGGAAATGAAAAAAATACATGAATAATTTAGCTAACGAAGCAAAATCTAAGAGCAAAATCTCCCATCATGCTTTATTAAACAAAATTTCGTCGCATTGCATTCTGGGATTATGTGTGCAATAGATCAGTGAAATAAAATTTCGTAGAATTAATCACACTTTAAAATAGTTTGATACTTTAACTACTTTGAAAACCTTTAGTGTTGCTATATCACTACTGCTTTTTTTTTTAAAAAAAAGTCGCTTTGATGACACGGAAATCCGGAGTGTCCCTGCATTCTGGATTCCAGGAAAATTTTCGCAAAGATTCTGGATTCCACCATATTGGATTCAGAATGCAAAGTGTCGTAAGTCGCTATTCTGGATTTCGTTTCCAAAAATGTTGTCAGATTCCGTATTCCGTGTCATAGGCGAACCAGATTTTTTGAATAATGAATTTTTTGTTTGTTTGTTTTCAGAGGGCATTCAATCTGATGTTTTGSAATCTCTTGATGTGAGGTACAAGTCCGCTGACTGGACACTAGAGCTAATGCAAGAAGAAGAACAACGAATACTTGAGGAACTCTCCAAACACCCGTTGAAGGTTCTGTGTGATTATCTATGAAATACCTATATTTCTTACTTTCGAAAAGTTGYTATTTTCAAAATAACATAGTGAAAATATAAACTAGTGAAAATATCAAATAAACGTTATTTTCCAATATACTTTGCTTTCAWAGATAATTATATGATTAACTTATTACATGGTCGTTTGGAGATATGGATTTTATTCTCGCGTTGAAAATCTCTTCTGAAAGATGTATCCAAAGAAGTAATGATCTCACGTTCGTCATTGTTTTGGTTTTCCTCTGCTATCCGCAAATTTATTTTTATTTAATTTATTTATTTATTCATTTAGTTATCTTTATACACCTGTTTTCAAAATGGTTGACCCGAGGAAAAATTAAAAAAAGAAATTTAGTCCATTGACTTTTTTTCAAATTAAACAATAGGTTTCTAGGTTTTCATCAACAAGCGTTCATAAAAGTAATTTTGCATTCCCATCCTCGCGTATACGCTTATCGTTACGGTTATCGCACAATTATAATGATTTATTTATTTATTTATTTTTTATTTATTTATTATAATGAAATATTATTTAATTAATATTTTTGCTGATTTGCAAACAGGTTTATATCATTTTTTTAAATATTCTTCATTCATTCATGTTTTATTGTATTTCTTCTTCCTCTTGCAGGATTTACCATTCCCAGATCCCACGGAATCAGCTATAGTTCTAGGTCACGTGTGCTCAAAGGCGGCCTCGTATCCATGTCATGAGCCCGCAGTACTATATAACCTTGGACTGAAAGCAGTGAATTCTGGACTCGAGCATGCGCAATGGACTACACAACGAAATGCTCTAGATCAAATTAAGAAATGTCTTCAGAGCATGACGTTAACTGATATATAGTCGGTTGTTGAGCAAGTATAGATGTATTATTGGTGTTTGAGTTGAAATATATATCTAAGATTAAAATTTATGTCAATCTGTCGTCAACTTGTACTCTGATTGGTCGATACAAAATGAACACCCTTCACGATTTTGTAGCAAACAAAAAGATCAAATATATATACGACCGCAACAGACATTATATATTTAATTTTCGATTACATTTACGTTTACCGTTATTTGTTTATAAGAATTAATGAAATATTGACCGTTAGCTAGCCTATTATTATGCAGACAGGTGCACTTAAAATGAATGTGCAAAAATCAATAATCTAGATTCGACGCCAAGAATCTACCTGTCATATTGACAAGTGCAGGAAGGTTCGGTTAAGAATGAAAAGCAGAGGCCATTGTCGTTTTCAATGRTATTGTCACGGCTTCATGATGAACAACAATCACTTCTTCAATTAGGTAAACATATTCTCAATATTTTCTGAGCTACCTATCTTGATTGGCACATTCTCAGCCGAGAAAAGGCAGTTGGCATAAAAGGTGAGAAGCCGAGCAGAAAATGATTTTTTCTTCTCTTCCCTGCCGAGTAGCTAAAAGAAACAAATTCTCTTTTTTCCGACCAGTAAGATTACTTTGTACCTCCAGTGTTTGAAGCAATGCTTTAAAAATTCTTAAACAGTAAATTATTGGTTGTCTTTTATTGTGGATGAGAGAGAAATTACTTATATTTATTTCATGAGATTAACTTTGAATGCCTTAATTGTAATTGCTTTTAAGTGCGAAATTTGGCATTGGAAACATGGTTTCTAATTGTATCATTATTGCTTTATTTACGTCCTAGTTTGGATTAGAAAAGGCGATTCTTTCGGAAAATCCAGTAGATTGTTCGTGTATAGGATAGGCAATCCAGTGGATTGTTCGTGTACAGGATAGGCAATCCATAAAGAAATTTCCAAACTTTCTTTTATTTTTGTGCTGTATTCAATTCCGTTCATTAAAGGATACACTGGACACTATTTTACCTTATTATTTTTCTGTTGAATTATTAAGTATATTAGACAAACATTTATAATCTGTGTACAACTTAGCGAAAAGGATTTAGCTCATAAATATTTCAAAAAAGATTTAATCAATAAAATAAAGATAGTTTTTTGAATTAATCAAGTTCCTTACTTTAAGACCTTTTAATTTAAGTTGGATTGTACAATTGTACAAGGCAGGTGGAGATAGCCTGGATTCAGCAAATCATCACCGAATCTCTGTACATTGATGTGAAGTTTCAATAAAAAAAAGATTCATGATCATCAAATGGTAATGTCATTGTGGAGGCTTTTTGGATTCTGCCCAATATAAACTGCGAATTGTATGTTGCAGTTTGGTGTCAGAGAAAGGCAATCATCGAAACGGAAGGTTGGTATCAAACGTTAATGAATGAACCACGAACGGATTAAACTAAGGAATAAAAATAACGATTTGAAAAGAAAATGGAAGTAATGAATCAAGCATTGATCACCAATTTGTAACAAGTGTTTTTTAAAGTCCCAGAGTTYAATGACTTTTCGATAACTGCAATTGCAGTGTCCTTGCTGTTAGTGTAACTGAAATTATATAACTGGTTATACGGAAGCGAATCCTGTTTAAAATATTTCTTGATGTCTACTGTATGTAAAAAATATATCTAATTTTCCATCCTCCAAACTGAAGCATTTTATTTTTATTTTTATTTATTTTATTTTTTATTTTATTTCAAAATAATCTGACATTGGTTTTGACCTAATATTATTTTCATTGATATGAAAATAAAAAAAGCTTGATTGCTATGTTTCTAGTTTGTATTTGTTTTTCTATTTTCTTTTATTTTTKATTAAGAAACTTAGTGTTCTAGAATGACCTCTAATATGAAAAAAAACCTTAACTATAATTACTTATACTCGTCGAATTGAGCGAAAATTGAGCTCCTCGATGATAATTTTTTTTTGTATTCATCATGCATGGTATATATTTTTCATAAGTGCTTGGTTGACAATAGTTGGGTTTGTGATTGTTTTGAGCGATATTTTGAATAAGAAATCGAAAAGCAGTGTAGTSCCATGTAGTACTATTGTTTATTTTATTTCAATTTCTGTTTGCTTCWGAACAGCTGTGAATAAGTACCAAGCACGGCCATAGATTGACCTTCCGCGCAGGCCGCGGTGTAAAAATTTAAAGCTTGACTTTGTATACAGGCTKTCTTTACTGGAATATTTCCTGTTTTGCGGGGACATTTTATTAACAATTATTCGCCTAGGGAAAAGTGAATATTTACCGGGCCGATTCCTGTGAATATATAGGCCATTTGCATGATGGCGTAACTTTAAGCCGCTGCTACACCAGCGATTTTTCGCTTGCGCAGGCGACGCGATTTTCTCAAAATCACCAGCGCATGAAGTGGCTACACGAGCGACAAAGCTGTATCGATAAAAAAAATCGTCACAAATACTTATTTGAATCTCCATAAAGAGGTATATGTACAAAAACAGCTCAAAACCGATGTTCAGCTTTCATCGTACCCGATAATCGCGTCGCCTGCGCAAGCGAAAAATCGATCGTGTAGCCGCGGCTTTATTACAACTACCAGAGAGCCTTGCGAATTTTCATTGTTATTCAGATTTTTAATCCCCTTCGATTGTCACTAATTGCATTACAAAAGAAAGTTGGCAAAGCATTCTGGTAGTTGTAGTAAATGACGCCATAATGCAAATCGGCTTTTAAAATACTTTTTTTATTGTTTAAAATGCCTTTTTACCTTGAAAAACATTTAAGCAATTTTTGTAGCTTTCTTTGTGAAATTGCATTTTGTTGAGTTTTTCAATTTATTCATCAGTAATTGTTGCAAAACTCGATGCCATTTCGCCGAGAATCAATATTCTGAGATTGGTCAGTGAATATSGTCTCATCATATTTCGAGACAGCCAGCCAATGAGAGTGTGCGTTCTTATGAGGTTGCGAATCATGAAAAAAATCCATAATTTCAGCAAATGTTATTATGGATTAATAATTCCTTGTGGCCAAAGAAGTCGCAAAAACAATGATTTTCAAATTGCCTGTTGTTCCTGTGAGTTTTGGATCAAAAAGCAAAAGAGTTTAACGAAGTTTAGTTTTTCTACAATTATTCATGCATAAATCATAATTTGATGATATATTTTAAATTTCAAGATGTAGTTTAACATGTAGCTCACGGATAGAGGATGCTCTACAATCAAACGGTTTTTTRTCAATACTCATTCACAGTTCGAGCGCCATCTTGGAATATTCGCGAACATAAATTTACATCCATGTATCAGCACTTTCGAAGAACAATGCGTCCGCCATCTAGAAAAGTGAGACCGAATCRCTATGTTGTGCCTTAGAACACATTTCGTAGTTGCTAAGTCAACTAATCTATCATTACACTGGAAAAAATCGTACACTTTAAAAGGTTGTAAATTTGATGTAAATATTATGTAAGTGTCCAAAATGCTGTAAATTTGATGCTTAAATTTGATGCGCGCGATTTTTTCCAGTGTTATTTCGTATTATATTAACTTCACATTAGCTGAGAAGCTTTTAATTCCTTTAGGAATTATAATTTAGTGATTCGACTTTTCAAGATGGCGGACGCATTGTCCTCCGAAAYTCCTGGTGTGTGGTGGAAGAGCAAACGCTCGGTTACCTTTCAAGATGGCGCTTGGAAGATGTATGCTATTTTAAAAAACTATTTAATATAGAATTAGCGAGGGGTACTCTATTTGTATGAATTGATAGAAAGCCTAATTCTCATCCTTATTATTTCTTTTATTTTTTAATCCACCACAGCGTCAAT